TCTGTGGGAATTAGTAGCTAACATTTCAATTGTTAGCTTGCTAGCTAAGGGCTATGATGCTAATTTTGGCTAGCAAGCAAGCTAGCCATAGAATATGTCTATGGGTAGGTGCCTCTATCATTCAAAACAGCCACAGCCTTAATCATGCTTACTTTTAACCCTTAATACAGTTCATGATACAGTTATCATCCAGTGTTGTACAAAAGTCTTCATCCTCCCTTCATTTCTTTATGTTTTGCTATGAAAATGGGAACAAGAGCTGTGGCCAAATTCATAGGCTGCATCCTGCTGAGGCCGCATTTGTAGGCCGATTACATCACAGCAACACGAGGAAGGCTGTCCTAGGGTGACCAACCGTCGAGATTGATGAAAATGTTCGGGTTTTCCTACAGAGGACCCATATGTGTAACGTACGGGTCCAAACGTCATCCCCAAGCTGTGGCTTTGTGAGTTGTTGTTCTGCGCTCACAGGCGGGACAGACAGCGCGCAGTAGCGCGCCTGGTGATGTTTAAAAGATGCCAAAGCGCAACTGCAGCTTTACAGACGAACTGCAAAAGAAATTTCCCTCGTACTGTCCCGGTACTGGTAATTTTTCTTATACAGATGAGCATTATTTCTATACCATTATTTAATTCCAGAGGTTTTTAATTACAAATAAACAGAGGTTATTATTATTATAAACAGAGGGGTTCTTTTCCGGAGACATTTGTTTTCCAGCTCGATAGCTAGCCAGCGAGAACACCGGACTCCAGGCACATTGTTTTCATACCCCCCGCGGTCTTTTGCTACTCAGGTTAAACATGATATATAAGTCACTTAGATAACTTAAACAGTTCTTGTTTGGCTTTTTTCAGTGTTTTATTTGTTTGTGAGTAAATCAGTTTGGCTGAGATTAAAGTTATAGTTTCTACACAGCTGAAAAAACGTTAAACAGAAAAACTGATTAAACAGAAGTGTGAGATGGTCGAGAATTTACAGCGGTGTCCTGTTATATTTTAGATAGCAAGGAGCAGACGGCTGAGTTTATTAAACTTCACAGAGACAGTGGTGATGCAAATCTGAAGGCTAGACCATTTCACAGCCGCTCACTTCCAGCCTACCCGGCCTTCGGAGGACCCGACCCACGAAGACCGCAAAAGCCGGGTCCTAAGGAGGATGCAGCCTCTGAATTTGGACACAGCTTAGATGTAGCGTTTTATTGAAACATGTAAACATACTACGAAATGTATTACATTGTATATTGTATGACTATCTTTTTAACATTCTCTTATAATTGATTCTTATAATTTATTGAAATTTCTTTAAGCAGTCTTTGAGAATAGTTCCTAGTTCTGTGACTCAAAATAGCCATAAAACAAACATTGTTAAATTAGAAAAACAAAAAAAATGTTTGATATTGTTGCAGTATTACACAAACCTACTTAACATTTTCTTTTATCGACAAAAGTTAAAAATAGCTTTCAGAGGTCTATTTAATTACGCTCTGGCTCCAAGTGCTGCTCTGAGATATACATGACGGTAATAAACAAAATCTCTGAGGGTCGCAATTAAGTTTTAAGAGCTTCATTACTACATTATCAGTGTTATTACATATTTGACATATTTATTGTGTGTGTAAAAATGATTCTACTCTAATCAGGAAACCAGCTGATCTTCACAACCTGGCTCCTGGGACACACCCGCCCTTCCTCACTTTCGAAGGGGAAGTTTACTCTGATGTCAACAAAATAGAGGAATTCCTGGAGGAAAAGCTGGCTCCACCAAAGTAAGTCTCACACACAAGCAGACAAAAAGAGATTGGTAAATAAGCCAGGTAACAACCCGAAACAATGTTCTGCTGTTTTGTCAGGTACCCCAAACTTGCAGCAAAGAATCGTGAATCCAACACAGCAGGAAATGACATATTTGCCAGATTTTCAGCTTTTGTCAAAAACACAAAACCAGATAAAAATCGAGGTGAGCATGCAGCACCCAGGAAATATGTCTATAATTGGGTTTGTCGTCTTTTAAAATCCTATGGTAATGCTTCCTGTGTGTTTTAGCTTTAGAGGCCAATCTAAACAAGGCCCTGGCTAAGCTGGACGAGTACCTGATTAGTCCTCTCCCTGATGAGGCAGACGAGGGAGAATCCACCCGCAAGTTCCTGGACGGAAATGAACTGACACTTGCTGACTGCAACCTTCTACCAAAGCTTCATGTCGTTAAGGTAGCCTCCGCCGGAGTGGTATCTTTATCTTCAGCTACTTTAATCATTTAACTTTGGCTTTTAGCAGTGTCAAAATAACTTGCGCTTTTGCAGGTGGTTGCAAAGAAATACAGAAACTATGAGATCCCGTCAGAGTTCAGAGGTTTGTGGCGGTACCTCGGAAATGCTTACAAACAGGACGAGTTCATCAACACCTGTGCAGCTGATGTGGAAATCGAGCTAGCCTATAAGGATGTCGCCAGGAGGCTGGGGAAATGAATGCATCACAAGCACTCAAGAACCTTTTTATCTTTTATTGAGAAATATCTAATAAATCACTTCTCTTTTTGAAAACCATTACATACACTTTTGGCACAGTGTGTGTCACTTGTAATAGTAATATAGTAAATATGTTTAACTGTAGCACACTGGTGTGATGTTTCAGAGAAGGTGCTAAAAATCATGAATCATGTTTGTAATGGTACTGTGTAGCAGCAGATGTCTGACGCATCAAACGATGCTTGCAAACTAAAGAGGCTGAAAATAGTTTCATAATGATTACATTACAATCATTTTTCAAAAAATATTCAATGAGAAAAAATGTATGAAGTTTGCAGCTAAGTGTTTAGTTATAGTAAATCCCTGCCTTAAGCAACAACTGTCCAGTCATCAGTGATTAATGAACTGACAGCAGGTGAACTAAGTAAAATCGCCTGGGGAGTGTAGTTCACACTACATTCAAACACAATGATCAAAGCGAAAATGTACAAGTAGGAAAAACCTGTAGCATTAAAATCAAATGCCAGCAATTTTTTTTAAAAAAAAGAAAGACAAACAAACAAAAAACATTCCCTTTTTGTTTACAGGTCATGCAAATATAACACACCCTACTATTCATAGTCAAGTGCAAGGAAGGACTGCTTTGCTTTGTACAGAGAGTTTTGTGGTGGTATTGTACCAAGCAACATTACATCATTAGCCTCTAGAAACATTATATGTTAATAATAATAATTAAATAAGTAGCAATAGCTGACACCTGGCATACTCAGTTTTACTTTTACAACTTCATATTAAACATATTAAAAACTACCGATAGGCAGATATTTTCACAGCTGGGAAACTTTTTAAATCACAAAACCGTCCCAGTATTCTTTTATGGTTTACATGGGTCGGATTCTCTGCATATATTGGTCATTCTTTTAGCCTTTCTTGGGTAAATAAACAAATAATAATAAAATAATAATAATAGAATAATAAAAAATAAAGAAACTGTTGTATTTGTTGGAGTTTTATTTTTGCTTTAACTTTTGCCAAGTTAGCCTTAATTTGCTAATTGGCTAGCTTTTTCTTCAAGGCTCATAGACAGGGGCGCCTCTGAGAGGGGGCCACTCGGGGGGACGGGGGGGGGATCAAAAGAAAGGAATGCCCCTACAATAATACAATAAGGTGAAACATTAACTTGTTTTTTATTCCGGCATATATAATATTTGTAATTCGTATTTCCTGTCGTGACCCCCACCCCACACAATATTTTTCAAGTAACCTATATTTGACAACAGCATAACAAAACGTAAGTTTGGTTTTTGGTGTGCCACCCCAATATTTTTAGTGGCCACCCCTACGAAAAAATAATTCTGGAGGCGCCCCTGCTTATAGATGCAACATTTGTCAGCATAGCTGCCTAAGCAACACACACACATCTAGCATAATTGCCTACGTTGCTTCAGCTAACAATGCTCTAAAGTTGATGTTAACAGTCATTCAAACCAAGGTGTCAAAAGTCTAGGAAACTTTTTTGTAAAAATCTGCACTCGACAGCAGATCCCCAAACAGCCAGTGAGTGTTAGGAGGTTAAGATGTGTTTATCCCAATTTCTACTAAAGTATTATCTCCTTACTGATTAAAATCATATTTTAGTGTCATAAATGTCTTGGATATTGGTGAATCTAACTGTTCTGTTTGTTTGTTTCTTTTTTTTTTCCTGTTGATTTTGATATGATTTTGTGTTTTCCAGTTTTCCTGAGTGTTTGAGGAAAGCCCTGCTAAAAACGTGTCTCAGCCAAAGCAGTTTGTCTTTTACTGGTGCAGCGTCAGCGCTGTGATGGCCTTCCTTTTTCTAACAAGGCAATTTAACCATTTATTTGATCAGTTATATACAAAGTACAAGACAGATTTTCTTAAGAAGTTACAAATCTTTGTTTTTCTTTTGTTAATATAGTTTTCTTGTTATATTGCCTCACACTGTAGTTTACAGCAAATACTTACTCTGTAGCCCTTTTTTAATAGGTTACAGTCTAGTTTTCAACAATAACTTTCTTTTTCTGGTTAATAAACAACAATGCTCTCAGTCTGGGAAATCAGCCTGTAATAAAAAGATCATACATGACAGTAACCACCTAAATAAACCAAATTTAGCTAGTTCTTTTATGCACACTGATGGTAGAGGATTTAATCATGGGTGCCTTAGTGAGAATCAAGCTCACCTCTGCCTTCGGCTCTATGTCTGTACAGTAAATTATGCATGTTTGAATATGATAGGAATGTGAATTTTTCATGTCATCTCTGTAGAGCTTCTGGGGAAAAAACCCAAACTTCAACTACCATATTCGTCTTCTCTCTGATGATTGCAAGCCACTGTGTAGACTGTGTTGCTTATTTGAATATTAAATCTATTTTCTCAGAGGCTGACCTTGGGGCTCGTGGTTTTTCACTGGAAACTGTTTCATCATGCATGCTGCGGTCTAGTCATACAAAAGACCAGTGAACAATTGACAGCACTCATGTTCCCAGTAAAACACAAAACAGGTTTTCTCTGATATGTTTATGGAAATACATTTCATCATATTCCACGACAGCACAACCACACACTTTATTTCCACTCAGGCTGATAATGCCCTTCTCTAGAGGTGATGAATACAGCTTTCTCGCAAGCTGTAGATTGAAATTCTCTGTTTTCATGGGTCAGTGAAAAGTGTAATTTATTTGCATTGCAGTATTTCTTTTTAAATTTCATAAATTCTGATATCAGTATCTGCTTGAAGGTATGATCCCGGTCGAATGAGAAAATGCACTGTATATGTAACAGCAGGACAGATGTGCAAAAAGGACCGTGAAGGAGCAGCAATTGACAGTAATGATGACTGAGTGCTTTACAGTCCAGATATGAACAGTCTGTGGCTTCTACCAGCCAGCAGATGGCAGCAAACACAAAGTTTTATTGCTCTGTAACAGCGTATATAAAGCAAGGAGCATGCAGTTAGGGACCGTCTTAATATATGTGTCTTCTTTCTGTTAAACAGTCACATTTAAAAGGAATTGCCACCTGTCATAAATGTCATTAAAAACAAACAAAAAAGATAATTTGTGGTATAAAATCATATCATGTTTCTTTGAAGCCTGATCATCTGTTGTGCTAATCACTATCAGAAAAGTGTTCACTATAGATCCCTCTCAGTATTATAAGTAATATAATAATAATAATAATAATAATTATTATTATTATTACTATTAGTAGCAGTAGTAGTAGCGGTGGTGGTGGTATTAGTATAGGTATTATTAGTATATTAGCAGTAGTATTATTATTAGCAGAAGTAGTAATAGTAGCGATACAGTTTTATGGTTTTGTGCGTTTTTCCGCGGGCTGCTAACACGCGGATTGTCCCTGAGCGCTTATTCGCCTCGCAAGTGGGCAGAGCGAACACAGAGGCTCGTGCGCTGTGCCCAGAATCTCTCTGGTATATTCAACATAACGACGGCTCCGCACGCTCAATGTGGGGTCTCAAGCCTTAAAACCATCTCGTAGCATCACGGCGGGCTGCCGACAGAAACCACTGCAAAGGTGAGACCCGTCTTTCCCCACAGCAACGGCTCCGGGGCTCGTTTTCTGCCCCGTAGTTAGGGTTATATCGCTGGAAGAAGAGGCGCAGTGTTTTGCCTTGTGTGCTCGGGAGTGGGCGACTTGTCATTGCGGCTGTTTTGTTGTGAAATGTGTGGTGGTCGTAGCTAGGAAGCTAGACAGCTAGGCATCTCCCTATTCCAAAGCAAAGCTAGGATAGCCTGATAGCTGGCACGAAAGGCAGCTGGATGTGTAAAAGGCGAGCCCAGTGGTGGGTAACAGAGCTGAATAGCTAACGTGAACGCTAGCTGATTTTTCGAGCCAGTTGGGGAGTCAGGACGTTAATCGCCGCAGCGAGCAGGGGGTCCCATTGTTATTACACTGCCGGTTTAGCTAGCTTATAACTAAAACTACAGTAACGCGGTGTTACAGTGAAGGCGGCGATGGCTGCTCTTTCTGCCCGAATGGCATCACTACGGAGAACAGGTTGTTCAGGAATAACAAAAAGCCCAACTCTCAGGTCATTGTAACATGTCTCGGTCAAGGACAGTTTATTTAAGCAGCCTCGGAGCAGCTGCCTGCACTTCACCAGGAGAGCTCCGTGTTGTTTCACTCCACGGAGCTGTTAACCGGACGAAGGTGAGTCGTTAACATTCCGCGGTGTGTGGCTGACAGACGACCTTGTTCTTCTCGAACTGTGTTGCACTTCCTCGTGTTTTTTAAGAGCACTTTCTTAACTCGGTGAAACAGTAACCAGGCATCCCAGCTTGTTAGACACGAGCGAGGGAGACGCGTCTGCTCCCAGAGGTGATGTTGCGGTTTGGTGACATAGGCTGATATAGCAGTCTGTGGAAGTTAATCGTGTTAATTCTTGCCCCGTGGGCCCCCCCGGCGTTTTCTCTGGAAGAACCTGCGTTTTTGATCAGCTGCCCGGAAAAGGACCGGTGTTTGAAAATGAAAGGAAATGCCTGGAGAAAATACCAGGGCAGGCAAAACTGGTCATACCTGGTAACAAGGATATACAGAAAGTGAGAGATTCTTTGTGTGCTCATTGCTCAAGCACTCAGCTCGCCAGAGCAGGCCACTCATTTTCAGCGTGCACCCATTAGTAGCCTCATGTAATCAGGTTATGACACACTGATTTGATCATATGAAATGCATCCTGCTTTATTATCATGCAGGCTCCAAATGTGATTGTATTGTCTACACAAAGGATGTAAAGATGTCTTTAAACATGTGTGGTGGTACAAGTTTGGCGATTTCCCCTCAGAATGGGAGGAAATCCTGTATTATTAGACGTGACCCAGCAAAACCTCACCTCCTTCCTGCTTATGATCCTCGACTGTACGCTGTGAGCTAATGCTGGGAGTAGTGTCCATCCAGAGGTGAGCCACTGACTGCCCTTTGGCTTTATAAAGAGCTCTTTGAGTTGCTTTTTTTTGCTGCTGGAGCCTTTGGGATTATAAATCCTGAGGAAAAGGAGCTTTGCTTCAGTGGCATGCTTCACTGGCAAGAAATCATTGGAGAGTGCGTGTGTGCAAGTGCAAGGGGAGGGTGTGCTCTGGTGGGCTCCGGTGGAGAGCCAGCAGAAGCAGCAGAGAGGTGAGGAAGGAGGGACTGAAGATGGAGGGATTGATGCACTGTGGTGATAATGGAAACCACACAGGGAAAATAGAACACTTGGCTTTTCTGTGATTAAAAGGCTCCTGTTTCTCTTAGGACAAACACACCTGTGTTTCTGCTGTGTGCCAGCTTTGTGGCTACTGATCGCTGAGCTAAAAAAAATCAGTATGGTAAAAGCCAGTGATTTCTGAAAGTTATCAGATTTCCAATGGGGCTGCACTGTTATATCGGCCAGTATTGGCTTTGTTAATTGATATCCGTATTTAAGCAAACAATGTGTGGCAGTGGTCAGCATTTATTTGTTGTGTCACATTGGTTTTCAGTGTTTCCAAAAAGCCAGAGATCTCTGAAAGTGATTGGATTTACAACAGGGATCTACCAATATATCGATATATATACCAATAATATATAAATTATTATTATTATTTGTAAATAATAGAAACCTTGTCTATAAATTTCTTTGTTGCACTTTGTTGCATAGTTCACTGGCTACAAAGGTCGGGGCCACTTTGCATTACTAATTGTTATTTACCAGTCACTGAGCTCATCAACTTTCTCTAGTCTCTTATCTCCTTTTCTCGGAACAAATGCGGCAATAATAAAACTGAAAATAGAAAAAAGAAAAAGAATATTGGCATGGGCTGTTGGTCATATTGTTATGTTGTTTCGTTGTATTAGTATTGGCCCAGAATTTTGCGATCCCTAATTTCCAATTGTATTAAATGACATTTTCATATTATATTATCAGCTTTTTTGCTATTTCCTCTCTGAACTGGTTCTTTTCCACAATGCAATCACTTCTTTACAGGTGGTGAAAGGGCTGGTGTAAGCTCTGCTGTTTCATAACCCTCCCTTGTTTTGTCAAACCTGGAATAATAAAAGTAGTGCACCATGGTCCAGAGAATCTGGTTTTACCTGTCTGCCAACATAAATGTCACTGCTGGAGCTTTAATGAGAGGAAGGGGGGACATTTTGCCACTTGTGACATCTTTAAAGGGTTTTAGAGGATTTGGCCGTGCATTAAGAGTGAAGAGCAGAAAAAGGATTAGTTTTATGTTGGGGAAAGTGAAGTGTTACGGTTTAGAGCTTTAATGTAGTCAGTGAAAGTCGGTACAGGCATGTTAGTGTTAGTGTATGTATGTCATGCTGGAACATTGCCCTTAAATGCTGCACTTGATTTATAGAACAGCTGAGTCAGCTGAGGATAATTTGCCCATGTGTAAAATTTAAGGTGTGTGCTTCCATGTTTTTCTCACTTTAATGTTTTTGTGTGCCATGTTTTTGTTATCATTAACAACAACAAAAAAGCTTGTATGCATCACGAACAGGAAGAAGGAAGAGCTTTGTGTAGCTTCAGCACCCCACCTGCGGTTACCATACATGCAGGTCATGTTGTGGCCTGTTGAACCTGTCGTTCCTGGTCTGTAGTGCCTGAGCTGCAAAGGCTCAGGCCCACAAAGAGCAGTTCCTATAAAGTCAGCCCTGCAGGTTCTGGGTATTCACAGGTCGAGTTTGGGTTTTGGCATCATCTTTCTGCTGCTGTGTTTACCACGTACTTGTGGTGTTAGTGTTTTTTTTTTTTTTCAGGTAACAATACTAGGGTTTGATGTAACCGCTGTCTCTATACCCAAAAGTCTGTCGGGCAAGTTGATTGGTCGGCTCCTGGCTTGTTTGGGCCAGCAACAGCGTTTCCACCAAGCGCAGATATGACTTCACCTTTTTTTTGTTGTTGGTGATGTGGGGCTGGACACAGAGAACAATTACTAAAAGAACATATACAATGACTGTAAAATATATTTAGAGACACAGAGTACGCACACAAAGTGTGTGCATACAAAGTATTGCCAGATTTAGCCCAGTCAGCCTCCATTTTTGACATCGCAACAACAGCTAAGATGGTGCTGTTATGGTTTATGATGCAGGAAAAACGCACAACAAGGTAACCCAGGTGTTTCCTGACCATGTTTCCTCACATACAAGGTCTTGAATAATCAGGCACCATCTTATCTTAAAGACTTCATACTACTGTATCACCCCAGTAGTGCACTGGGAGCACTCTCAGACTGCTGGTTAATGTGTCGTTTCTAGGATATTTAGAAGAAGAATGGGAGACAGAGCCTTCATCTTTCATGCCCCTCTTTGGATTCGGGATACAGACAGCCTCTTGGTCAGCTAAGCCACTGAAGAGATTTTTAATCTCAAGAGTTTCACTTCTTCATTAAATAAAGTA